GACTGTGAAACAAGAAGACTGTGTCACCTTGTTTGACTTCAGCTGGGAATGTGCCCCTTGAGTAATTCAAAAGTCTGAAAATGACTACAAAAGCACTGTGATATTGATTTGGGGGCTAAAAATAAATTTCAGTGAGTAGGAAAATTCTCAAATACAGGATTTACAAATAGTAAAGATAGACTGTATTTGTTAAAGGCTTATTGCCTATGTGGCACATGTATGTAAGGTAGGCATGTTCTGGAGCATATGGAGCAGACAACAATCTCATTTTTCACTATGCAGTTCACAACCCTCTCTCTATAGAAGAGTGATAAATATTAAATTTTCATATTCAGTTGGAGAGAATTAAGTCAAAGCTCTTTTATTCAACTGAGATAACCACTGAATGAGATTCTATTGCCTCCAGTTAGGGCAAAACACTATAATATTTGATTCTTACAAAAAATATATACTATGTGAAAATATGCCAACATATCATTAATTAAATACATCTCCTTTGTAAGAACTCCAATGCTTTATGATCATAAAATGTCTTAGAAATAAATGAATGTGTAATTCCTGGGCAATTTAAATATAATAAAACCAACTCTGAATTCATTTGGTAAGTAAATAATCACACCAATGGACCATATGTATATAAATCTTAAGCCAAAGGACATTTTAATACATGGGCTACTATTTAAGTAAATCCATGTGAGAATTTTGTACCTAAAGTAAAAATGGTGAGTTCTGAGCTTCTCTCTAATTTCATTTTGGGTGTGTTATCTCTAATTTGCAAGCCAAAATTCTTGTTATCTTATAAGCTTTTTTTTTTTTTCAATTGAGAATGGTTTTCCCACCCACAAATTACCTTCTTCCCTTTACTTAACAGTTATGGAGGGGCACAATTTACAGGCATGAGGATGACCTCCATCCATCTTCAGTCCCATAACTCTCTCCTCATTGCTGGCTGCCCCATTAATGCACAAGAACTACTAGACCTAAAGAATGCCACAGCACATAAGGCAAAAAGCCAGTCCCACCAAACCCTCATCTCCGGTTATTTGAGGTAAAGGGAGAAATGGCTATGAGAATAAAATAACAGCATTTCCTTCTCATAGCCAGATGTGCCTTTTGTGACCCAGTCATCATTTCTGTTGATTCTGATGGTAATATTCCTCACTTCTTGCCAATATTTGCTGCCACTGATGCAAGGCTGGTCCTCTCAGGAAATTAGTAGAGAGATGGTAGACCCCATATGGGAATGCCACTTTCACTTATTAACTAGACAAAGATATCTGGGTCTTTATTTGGAAGCATTTTTAAGGCTATATTTAGGTACATTTATAACTGACATGCAACAAAATGCACTTTTTTAATGTGTACTATTTGTTGATCTTTGACAAATGGATAAAGCTATAAAACTTTCACATGTGAAATAATCTTATCTCTCACCCATATACAAGTTAGAGCAAAAGTAGGCTTACAGATGTGAGTATGCAAAACACAGTTTATTCTCTTTTTAAAAAATAAGTATTATAGCCCTAACTGGTTTGGCTCAGTGGATACAGTGTCGGCCTGAGGACTGAAGGGTCCCAGGTTTGATTCAGGTCAAGGGCATGTACCTTGGTTGCGGGCACATCCGCAGTAGGGAGTGTGCAGGAGGCAGCTGATCGATGTTTCTCTCTCATCAATGTTTCTAATTCTCTATCCCTCTCTCTTCCTCTCTGTAAAAAATCAATAAAAATATATAACAAATAAGTATTATATATTTTAAAATATATTTTATTGACTTTTAAGAAATAGATGAAGGGAGAAAGAGAGAGAAATAAACATATGAGAAACATTGATCTGCTTCCTTATGCACACCACCTACAGGGCATCCAGGCAGGCATCCAAGGCTCCTTCCTTTGCGGGAGATCATAGCTGTCCTTCCTCCAGAAACTCCATGACCTTCCCAAACTTGATGCTTAAGCAATCTCCTGATGTTATTTTTATTTCTCACTTCAGGGTATGTTTACCCATGTATGTGAAGAACAGGAAAAAAAGAAACACAACAACCATGTAGTAGAGAGTTATTTCCCATCATTACTTTATCAAATAATCACTCACTTCTTCAATAGGAGAGACAGAGTATTTATTTAGGACCACATAGCTTCTCTCTCACCTTGGAGAGGTTGGCCTGTATTCTCTGAAATTTTAAATGCAAGAACTGGCACCCCATTCTCATTCGAGGAGGCTGAAGAGAACTGTAAATGCGGTCTGACTCCTGCACAGGAAATGTAGGCACCATGTCCCCACTCCTATGCTGTGCCACATATGATCATGCAGGACAGAGGGATAGTCTGTGTGAGTACATGGGTCTTGTTATGGCCAATAAAGTCATGTGGGAGCAAGGTGATGTCTGCAAAAAGTGGATGGTTGGGGTGGTGGTAATGGTGGTGGTTTTATCAAAGCCTCTGAGCTGAACAAGAAGCCACCAAGTGGCCATCAGAATAGAGACATGAAATGACTGAAATTGAGACCAGGCCTACAACTCAAAATCATCATAATACTGTGCATTTTCTAAGAACAAACAGAAGAGCTCTGGGATCTGCCAAAGTCTTCATCCAGCATATGAGGAAGAAAACCTCCATAAAATAAAGTTTAAAAGATAGTGAGAGGCAAAATAAAGTTATGTTTGTTTTAAAGGCATTTTTGTTCCTTCAACTTACCTGTTACATACACAGACACAGAGTTAGAAGCAACAGGAAGGATGAGGTAAAGTTGGAAACCAACTTATGAATTTCCAATCAGAGTTTTAGGAAAAAAATTTAGAAGAGAAATCTTCAGAAACTCTCAAATCTTTGTCTTTACCAAACTTCTCTAAGCTAAAGCCTATATTTTTTTCCTAAGTGCCCCACAGGGATCTTTAGAGGAGCATGCTCAAAGGGGAATGTCCTGCCACCTCAAATCCCACTCCCTCCAAGCTCCACACTAGGTTCTTTGCATTAGCTTTTTCAGTCATACTTTCTGTAAGAAAGAAGTGGAAAAGTGCGTAAGGAACACTGGTTGCTTTGCTAGGCACAAAACAGTTAATATTACAAGCTGGTCAAAAGAGGGAAGAAAAGAGAGAGGGAGGGAGGGAGGGAGGGAGAAAGGAAGGGAAGAAGGGAGGCACAGTGGGAAAGAGGAATTGAAGAAGAGGCAAGGTGCACACCCCATCACGCATGCAAATATATGCCAGCCCATGCCAAAGATATGCAGGTGACCATGCATGAAGGCATGTGTTTAAGCACAGCAGCTCACTCTAAGAGTAGACACTTCGGCACTGCAGGAGGAATCTGGTCTTCAACTTAGTAACTAGATACCCATGACATGGAGATAGAGAGTGGGTTGAGAAAAGAATTTGGTCAGGACATGCCATCAGAAGACCTGTTTAAGACTCAACTTGATAATTTGATTAAACTATTTAATCTCTTGTAAGTTTCAGTTTTCTTATCTATAAAATGGGAATAATAATCATAATTCCGGTTATCTCACTGGAAGGTGTAGACATAAATGTGGTGGACATTGGGTGCCCCTAAAGGACCAAACCACTCATTTCCCCATCTCCCAAGAGTGTTGGCTGCTGATGTCCCTTTCTGGAAATTTCTCTCAGCCATTCCCAAGATCTGCCTTCCTGGGGCCTACCTATTCCAACAATTCATTTATCTAGCCTCAAAAAATCTCCAGAATCCAACTCCATCTCTCCACCTTTATTTCTCCACTATAAGCCATACCTCCATCATATATCATCTAGATTCTTGCAATAATTTTGTAATTGGTCTCCTTCATTCTGCTTTTGACCTGTTACAGGCTGAATTACTTTAAAACATGACTTAAGTCATATATTCCATTACTTTCCACTCCCTTTTATAAAAGCCAAAGTCCTCATGAATGGCTACCAGGCACTACTTAAGGTTCTACCACTGGCTCACCTTGCCCAGGAAACCTGCTAATCTCATCTCCAGATTTTCCTCTCTCCCTATTGTCCACATCACTTTAGCCACACTGGCCTCCTTACTCTTTCTTAAACATACCAGACATGCTACAGGCTTAATGCCTTTGCAATTGTGATTCCCTCTGCCTAGAATGCTCTTCCCAGATATGACTCACTCTCTCACTTCTCTCAAATCTTTGTGCAAATGGCTTCTGATCAGTAAGATCACCCTAATTAAAATTGCAACACCCTGTTCCTTTTTTTTGCTATTTTTTCTCTCCTTAACACTTATCATTATCAACACATTATTTATTTTACTTGTATATTTGCTTATCATCCATCTCCTCATACTACAATATAAGCTACATGACATCAGGGCTTTGTCTGTTTTGTTCACTGTTATAGCTTCAGCACCTAAAACAGTGCTGGACACATAGTACATGCTCAATAAATATTTACTGATTGAATGAATAAATTAATAAAAGATGAGGAATTTCCCCCCAAAATAGTAGTAAATGATAGTTTTTCTGTAAGTGTTCAACAAAATTTAGATACTCCTGATATAAATGTATGTGAATACTTATATAAAAAGTAAGATTTTTGAACATAGTACAGTTACATTATACATCCAAAGACATGTAAAAAAAATTGTAGTGATAGGCAGTGACAGCCATGGATTCCGAGAAAGGACATTATCAACATCTAACTCTTACTTTATCATATTTCTGTGAGCCAAGACATGACACATTTTAATTATTCAACATCTTTACTCTGTCAAATAAACTGATTATGGAAGTCTGTGAAATTCTAAGGGCAGATGTTACCATATAATACTTTTCTTCTTTCTCTATTATTTCTCAAAGCACTAAGTTTTATGCCTCCAATGATATCATTGTTTTCAATAATAGACATGAAGCCTGGCTGTCTTTTCCAAAAGACAGTTCTTAAGAGTGGAAACAAATCCTCTATCTTATGCATTTTCCATGGATGCTCTGTCCCCATACCAGGTCTAGCATCTCAGGATTTAGATTGGACTCTTCACCCAGTTGACAAAAGGCTTTGCTGAATCTCTTAACAGAGTCATCTCCAGCTTTTGATATTAGCCAACAATTTGTTTTGCTGTAGTTGCCAATGATTCCATTGCTCTACCAAATTACTGGAGTTCATATAGCTGGCAGTGGTTTGGAGGGAATGAATTTCTCAGCAACACCTGTAGGAAGACAAATAATAAGCTGAAACTCTTTGGTCTCAGTGGCACTCAGTGTCTTCTGCTCTGCTAAATCTCTGTTTACAAGCCAGTCACTCTTTGAAAAGGGAAAGGGAGGATGAGACACAGAAAATTACCCTCACAACTTTCCAGGCATGCTAAAAGATGTGACTGGATTATCACAAGCCCTATTGAAGCTTTTGTATGAACTCCTGGGATCAATCTCTCATTTGTCATGTGAGACAGATCTGATTCAGACGTTGTGAATGGAAGGCATCTGCTGATCATCTGTCAGACCCCATGAGGTTACTAGATAAAGGGACTAAATGATTTGAATAATGAGAATAATTAGGGACCTCTTATAAGAATAGTAAAGGGTATGTCTAAAAGACCAGCAGCAGAAGCAAAAGTTTTCATGTTGGGTCCCTTTCTACAATTTCAGAAAGCTCACAAAGAATCTGGTCATCCTAAACTTGGCAGATTTTCAATGAGAAAGCAGCCCTGACTCTCCACCAGGCTCAGGATAAGCAGGTTACTAGGGTGCTATTTATGTTTTGATTGACAAGAATACACTCTGTCTAAATAAATAGAGAAGCATTTCTTGTAATGATGCCTCAAAGAAGCAGCTATCTGAAATGATGAATCAATGCCAAGATAGTTCAAAAGACAACTCAAATACTAGTACCCATGGTAAACATTAACAAATGAGGCAAACTTTTGAAAGAGGAGACCTACTCTAGGAGTCTACAGTGCACTAAATATAGACAATGGGATACATATGTCTTTTTATTTATTTTTAATTGAAATCATTCAACCAAGAATTATCATCTTTAAGAAATTACCTTGGTTTCTATTATTTGTGCCTGTTATATTGTTTAAATATAAAAAAGAGAAAAAAATCATTTTATTTTTTTCATTCTCTTAATTTCTTTAGCATGGTATTCAATGTCCCTAATTATCTTGTGCCACATGCTTTCATATTCCATCTACTGCCACCACCATCATCCATACATTCTATTTAGTAAAGTCTAATGCCCATCATTCCTTAAACTTGCATAAACATTTGCTTATTCCCTTCCTTCTGTCTGGAATTTGTTTTCCCACAATCCTCCTGGATCAAACCCTAATTAATGCTCAAATCTCAACCCAATTGACATCTTCTTTGGGGAAACCCTACCAAATGTCTTCTTAAGCAAAGTTCATTCCTAAAAGTATGCTTCTCTACCGTATTGTAATATCCATATTGTAACAATTGCCATACTGTGTAAGTGCACACTGGTCATGGGACTCTCTCTTTTACTCTGCCATTAAGTTATTTTTGTGAGCTGGTCAGTATCTTACTCAGATACCCCCTGCTCCCTCATTAAATGTTTGGTGAAAGAAATGTGAAAGAAATATCAGAGTCTTTCTCTTTTTTCTCTCACTTTTTCACTCTTTTGTTTTGTAGAAGATAAAGAGAAGATAGAGGCTCAGATAGATTCAGAGCCTTGCCTTAGATAACATTATTAAGGCTGAACATACAGAATTAGAATAAAAGATTCTTGTTCATAAATATGTTTAATGTTAGATAGAGTAAACTATAGGGTGTTTTTAACCATTAATAAGAATCAGGTAATGTAATACTTTAAACAACAAAAACTTAAAAAGAAAACAACAAAAGAAAAGAAAAGAATCAGGTATGTAATTTGCAAGAATCTCAGGTGGTATAAAGGATTAAATGTAATAATATTGTTTATTTAAATTCTGAAAATTAAGGTTAAAACCCAGACCCAGTGAAAGCATTTATATGCTTTACAAAAATATTAGTCTTTATTAAAAAGGGGTATTGCTTCTGGATATGACCTCTTCTTTTCTCAGTCTCTCAACATTCATACAGACACTACTAAACTCAAGTGTCTACCATGCTTGAGTGGTACTGATGTAATCAGAGAAAAGTGGGGGTTCCTGGGAGTGGAAGGTGGAGGCATGGATTTTGACTCTCCTTTATTTCTACATTATACTCCTTCAAGTTCATATGAGTGCCACATGCAATCATTAGTAAGTGGGAATCTTCATCCACAAGAAAAAATTTCTGACATTAATAATTTAGTACATAAATTCAATGGTTATTAAGCCCTTGGAGGGTTCTAATAATGCTATGCTTGTGTCTCTCATTGAATTAGCAGAATCAAAGACCAACACAAAGATTCTCTCTCCTTCTGCTCTAATCCCTGCAGCTCTCAGCGCCCCAGACATTGATGGGCAAGGAGTTTTAGACCAGGAAGCATCCCCTTAACAGTGACTTTCTTCAAGCTAATAAAAGTGAGAAAGTATAATTTCATCATTATCACACCAACATGCCAATTGACGTGTTTATAACATACAGAAAGAAGCATTTCTAAATCATTTGGCCATAATTGCTGGGTCAATTCACAAGGGGAGTCAAAATTCTCCAAGAGTGCTATGGAACAAAGTGTTAACGGCATGTAACATGGGAAAATATCAAAGTGATTATAGTTTAAGATATGTGACATATAAGCAAGGGTGGTAGCAAAAGGAGATATGGAACTTTGTCTCTGTAGGGAGACAAAGGCTTAGTTTAGCTAAAAGGACATTTTATTTCATAATTATCACTTTTCCACTAATTAATCATTATCAGAAGTCACAGAGTCAGGGCTACTACACACACACACACACACACACACAGAGAGAGAGAGAGAGAGAGAGAGAGAGAGAGAGAGAGAGAGAGAGAGAGGAGAGAGAGAGAGAGAGAGAGAGAGATATTTAAATAATCTCAGACTTTGCTCTACTAAGTAACTAGAAATATATGTATTTAGTCTTGGTTATGGAATTAGGGATTACAACAAATACTCTTGCTAAGGGTATGCAAAGGTAAAATGACTTGTGTATACCACAGTAAAAGGAATCTTAAGAGGATCCATCAAATATAACATCTTAGGACCATCAGCTTACTTTCAGTGAGCTTTACATATGTTGGCTTCCACTCTATTTCATTCTATAACATTTAGTGTTTCAGCCATTTTTATGGTTTTTATATATTGACTAGAGGCCCAGTGCACAAAAATTTGTGCACTCAGGGAGGTCCCACAGCCCGACCTGTGCCCTCTCACAGTCTGGGACCCCTCGGGGAATGTCCACCTGCTGGCTTAGGCCCACTCCCTGGGGGATCACACCTAAGCTGGCAGTCAGACATTCCTCTGGCAGCTCAGGAACCCTCGGGGGATGCCCACTTGCCAGCGGGGAGCAGGCCTAAGCTGTAGTCAGACATCCTTAGTGCTGCTGAGGAGGCGGAAGAGGCTCCTGCCGCCACCACTGTGCTGGCAGCTGGCAGCCTGGCTTGTGGTTGAGCAGAGCTTCCCCTGTGGGAGCACACTGACCACCAGGGGGCAGCTCCTGCATTGAGCATCTGCTCCCTGGTAGACAGTGTGTGTCATAGTGACCAGTCATTCCCAGTTGTTCCGCTGTTAGGGTCCATTTGCATATTACTCTTTTATTATATAGAGTGGAGGCCTGGTACATCGGTGGGGGCCAGCTGGTTTGCCCTGCAGGGTGTCCCAGATCAGGGTTGGGGGTCCCTCTGGGGTGCCTGGGCAGCCTGGGTGAGGGGCTGAGGGCCGTTTTCAGGCTGGCCATGCTCATGGGCTGGAAGCAGGTATCTGGGATTTATTTAACTTCTATAATTGAAACTTTGTAGCCTTGAGTGGAGCTCAGGGCTGGCCAGGGCAGGCAGGAAGCTTATCTTCCTCCATTGCCAGGGGCAACACAAGCCTTCTGCTCGCTACAGCTCGGTGGCCACAGCCATCTTTGTGACGGACTGGTAGAGTGAGGAGTGACTGTTAATTTGCATATTACTCTTTTATTAGATAGGATGATATCCTAATATCTAAGGTCTAGATCCATAATTCCAATATTGCCTATTGGTAGTGGATATTGGTGTTCTTTAGATACCTAAAATTCAGCACATCCTAAAGCAGATGACTACAATAAGTCAAAGGTTGGCAGTTTTGATTCATAACAGGATGATTATGTGTTTATGTCCAATGGTCAAAAATTTAGGGCAGTTTTTCTCAAACTTTCACTACCCATGGACTAACTACTTCTTTGGCACACATAGTGGAACAGGGGATCCCCCAGGGGTGAAGACGACAGAGCCCAATGCGCTGGAGCGTCTGCATGCATGATTCCGGAGACCAGGTTCAGAGACACAGATCTAAGTTTATTGAGGAAGTACAGCCGCATATAAAGGGGTAAGCAGCCAATGCAATAGGGACATGCTTGCTATGTTGTCCAATGGGCATGAGGGTCGGGGCTAAGAGTAGGTGGCTCCTGGAGATTTGTCAGGCGGGCGTTGCCACTTTCTGGTGTGCCAAGGAAGTCTGTTCGCTGGAGTGTACTCACAGCATTGCTTTGGCCGCAGCACTGAGACAGATCTCCTGAGCTCTACCCACATCTCACCCTTCCCTTTTTATAAGCGCCTGCTGGATGTGGATAATCATAGCTTGCTGTGCATTTATTCTTTGGATCATTGAGTAAAAGCAACGAAACAATCAGAATGCAAGGAGGCCTCCTGCTGCTAGAATGGCCCATATGAATATGTTAGCAGGATTTAACCAGGAGGTTAGACAGCTGAGGGCATCACTTAAGAAACTAAACTCAATGGGTTTTACTCGGGTATTGTTTATTCTTAGGATTTCTTGCTGGAGCTGATAGGTGCTGTTTAGGAATGCCTGGCTGAATGGACCTTTAAGGAGATTTGCTAATTTTGGGCGCTCCCAGGAGGGATTTCTCACTTGAACAGATGTTACACAGATGACAGTGTATCTTATATCACATTGGGTGTGTGATATTTGCCATAAATTATCGAGGTTTTCTTAGATTAAATCAATTTGTTGTTGTAAAGTGAGTAACGCTCCCCATACCTGTTGGTTTATTGTTGCTTGTGTAGCAAAGGCTTGGGCTGTGACCTCTGATAAGGAGTTTAGACTCTGCGCTGTCAATCCCTCCTGGGCTAGGGAAGTGATTCCTGTGGCCATACCTGCTATAGTGGCTATTATGGAAGAGATTATCAGTATCACTACTCCTACAGCCCTTTTTTCTATTTTCTGGAATTCCTTATGGATTATTAGTTGAGTCGGCCCGTCCCAGTCGCTGACTTCTACTGGAACCCAAAGTAGTGAGGGGGTGTGCATGGCTAGAGCGTAAGCATTGTTTGGATTCCAGCAATTAGATAGTATACAATATTGCTGGGTATAAGTAAAAGCGCTATAATTGCTTTGTAAGAAGAAGAAGGGGGGTCTCACACAGGCCAGTAACTAAAACTATGAGTGGCATTGGGGTTGACTGCGACGTTGTTCTCCCATCTACTTGCCAGCTTTTCCCAGGTGCCGTTATACAGGTGGGCCCCTTTTAGGCTGGTGAAGGCTCTTTGATCAATACATGCATTGGGCCTGCATAAATCCCACCACCTGAATTGGAAGCACAACCCTTATATTGGGTTTCTTAGTGCAAATGGTGTCATTCCCTTTCTTAACCATCTCCCCCAAATTCCCAGGGCGCCCGTCTGTACGTCGGGTTGGGAGGCACAGAGGCATTCTACCCAGGGGATGCTCATGGAAGAGAGGAGTACGGGGGGTGACTCCTCTGAGAGGAAAAGGTAAGGGCAGAGGGGTACTGTGGAGGGGCTGGTGGAGACCCTGGTCCAGCTCGATAAGGCAAAGGGAAAGGTTGCATTAAGTCCCAGCATAACCCCCTCTGTACAAAAGTCCCTAGTTTCATGAGGTTCTAGGTATATCCACCCTTGTCCTGGGGTAGTCCCATTTTCTAGAGTCCACTTAAGGAGGTTAGGGCTACTGATATCAGCCCATACCGTCCTGTTCCATGGCGATGAGACCGGTTCCACTCCGTCAGTTTCTTGGTCATCTCCGCCACCAGGGCTGGTTGTCCTCTATGGTCCCCATTTCCTCTACTGGGAGTGATGGTGATGGTGGTCTATGGCTCATCGCTGGTGGTGCAGGGTTTGATGTTACGGGCAGGAATCCACGCGGGATTTTTCTCACCTTCTGGAAAAATACAAGGAAACCCTCTCCCTTGGGTTAAGAGTGGGTTGGGGCCCTTCCAAGCCCCGGTTAGTGGATCTCCACCGGACCAAGGGGAGAGCCCCCCCCCCCCGCTTTTTCTTTAGTAAGCTAGATTTTTAACTCTTTATTTTTTCTTTCTATTATGGCTTGCCCTTGTGGGTTATATGGTAAAAGCCTCGCTAGTGTAGTAGGGGCCATTATCTGTTTTAATTTCCCAGGGAAAGCCTAATGTTAGAAATGCCCCGTTGAGGGTTGCTATTATGTGGCGAGTCTTTTCACCTGTGTGAGCCTGAGCATATGTGGCCCCAGAGCAAGTGTTAATGATTACATGTACATATTTGAGCCTACCAAAGCAGGGAATATGGGTCATATCTGCTTGCTATAAGGCATTGGGTTGGAGCCCCGGGGGGTTGACCCCTTGTGGCTGGAGGGGGCCTAAAGGCAACAGGGGGCCGCAGGTTTTGTAAAGGCAATAGGGGGCCGCAGGTTTTGTATGCCCGTATGAGATGCTTGTAGCTAGAGAGGGTTAAATGAGGCAATAGCTTGTGCAAGCTAGCTGCCTCTATCTCTGGATTGTTTTTCCTCTTGTCTTTATGGCTGGAGTATTGCTGATAATTCCTCTCTGTTGTAGGAATGTACATGGCCTTGGAGTTGTTTTTTGAAAATATACAAATGTATTCTCCACCAAAGGTTAATAAAGGAAACTTTACTTGGGGTTCTATTTATTTTTGCTTAAATGAATTTCCTTTGGCTTATGTTGATACCACGTATGTTTTTCATGGGTGTCTTGCTGTTAGCATTTCAAATGAAAAAATTTTTCTAGATGTAAATTAGTTACAGGATATTTTTTCTTACATGGTATTTTTCCACTATCCCTAATATTTTTATTTAATTATTAGGAGGATTTTTGGAAAACTTATACTGCAGTCTAGATAACTTTAAATTTTAATTTTTTACACAAAAATATGACTGCTTTAGGTTCATTGTATGTTAAGTAATTTTTCTATGAAATGAAAATTTTTGTTAATACTTCTTGAGCAAATTTTAATTAATCTGAAAACTTGACTACTATTTTACTGTCAAATTTAATACTCTAATAACAATCTTAGTTTACACTGTAAATATTAATGGAAAGGAATTCCTTGGTTATAGTTTTGAAATCTAACTTAAAGGACTATTAAATACATATGTGGATATATGATCTAAAGACTATATACTTTCTATAAATGGAAAGGATTATTTTGCATCCTTGAGAAGTCCCTACGCATTCCTGGTGTTAGGCTGGATTTAGATATAAGGTAGCTGCTGTTAGCCAATTTTCTGTTATCTGGGTACCGATCTGGGCTGGGCATGGGAATTGAGAAGCAGCCATGAGGGCAGGAGACCTCCCTCAGAAGGGGTGAGTGTTCAAGCCCCTGCATAATTGGGGGGGTGAGGATCTGTGCCCCACCTCTGTTGGCTCCCAAATTCTCTTTTGAGGCCCCTCTGCGACTGTGCCTGTCTTCCGGGGCCAAGCAGGGTGATGTGAGGTTTAGTTCTGTCTCCTTGGTAGCCTATGCCCCTATGGCCTCTACGCCCAGAAACTTCCTTGGGATCCCCTTGCCTGCTGGTGGGGCCCCTGTAGCTGGTCAAGCAGAATTAAGTTAACTAGAAGAGGACATTCTGCCAAGAAAGGACAGGAGCCTGCAAACAGGCCACGTCAGAACAAAGTCTTGCAAGCAAGACTTATTGTTTAGAGGCAAAACATTCTTTTAGGTGATAAATAGTCCAGGAAGGCATGGAAATTACAAGGGAGAGTGCACGGCTGGAGGTGGAAAGAGTCTTTGTATAACATAGGAAACTAACAGTTTAATGTATAAGTTAGCTCAGATGATCTCACAAGCATGCTTGTTAATCATTGCCACTTGCTGTATTCCATTGTTATTTGCTGTATTCCTTTAATAAAAGCCATGAGAGCTGGGGGAGCTTTTTCTGCTCTCAGC